CTTTTGCAGTAACATTTTGCTAGAGTGCTTTGGCTTGCTTCAGGGCACCCGAACCTCTTCGGCCCCGAAGTAGGCTTGGATCCCCAGCTGCCCTACGAGTGCCTTGCATCCCGAACCCGTAGGGACCCCCTCCACGCATCCTTGTGTTCCCGCGCCGCATGTTCACCAGGTAGGGGCCGAGGACATGGAGCACGGTAGCACTCAGGCAACGCGTAGTTAGCGCACTAGCGAGCAGCACACTAGCGGCACCAAGCAGAACAGTAGTGGCGCGCCGTAGGGGGCACAGGCTTCTCTGTTGGTCACGCCGGTTCCTCAGAGTGCAGGTTGTTTTTTTTGGAATTGCCTAACAGCTCGGTAGGTGTGAGTTCCATGTCACGCCCCACCCCCCCCCGCTGCCCTTCCTGCTTCTCAGGTCTCGCGACTTCCGGCACGCTTGGGGCCCAGAGTGCTGTCGGCGTAGGCAGTAGGGGGTAGGTGCGCTTGGGTCGGCAGGATTGCAGGTAGCAGTCGTGTGATGTAGGCGTGCCCCCCTGTCCCTTTAAGCCTATAACCCCGATTCTCAGGTCACTTTGACTTCCTCGCCCGTAGGGTGGGCGGTCTTCGTGGACTGTTAGGCAGTGCCCTCAGAGTGCGTTTTGTTTTTTGCTTGTCTGGCCTTTGCTTCCGCGCTGTAAGTAGGTTGCTGTGGTAGTGGCAGTGCCCTAGGAGTGCAGGTAGGAGTCCGGTAGGAGTTGTGCGCACTAGGAGGGCAGCTGGGAGTAAGCCTGACTGCCATGTCATGCCCCGCCCCTCACACCCCCCCTGCTGCCCCTTCCTGCTTCTCAGGTCTCGCGACTTCCGGCACGCTTGGGGCCCAGAGTGCTGTCGGCGTAGGCTGTAGGGGGTAGGTGCGCTAGGGTCGGCAGGATTGCAGGTAGGAGTCGTGTGATGCAGGCGGACTGTCCCTTAAGCCCATCCCGATTCTCAGGTCCCTTTGACTTCCTCGCCGCGGCATCATGGCCACAAGGGAGGAGGCTTGGCAGTTGCTCACGAAGTAGTGACATGAGGGCTTCTGTCTGGCAGGTGTGCCCAGATTGCGGGCAGGGTGTCCCGCGCTACGCGATGGAGCAGCTGGGCTCCTGCATAAAGTCCGAGGCAGGGGTTTGAGGGTGTAGAGCTGTGTTTTGTTTCCGGATTTCCCGCCTGCGCAGGAGCGCCTGAACGAGGGCGTCGATGGCATCCGCTTCAGGTTGGAGGTCGACCCACCGGGCTCCGAAGATCCCGAGGCTCATGTCACACTCACGTCAGGTCATGTTAGACTCATCATAACTCATGTCGCACTCATGTGAGCTCATGTGGGCTCATGTTGGACTGTTCCCGCCAGCCGGCAAGGCGGGTCTCGATCGCGAACTCGTTAGTACATTCCCTGTGTGTGTGTAAGGTCGCGAAGGGTTGCGGCAAGACCGCACGCGCGCCCCCGGAGAAGACACCCGAGGCTCATGCCACACTCATGTGAGCTCATGTCGGGCTCATGTGAGCGCATGTTGCCCCTTTGCGCCAGGGAGCTCCCGAGGGGGCCGCCGCCCCGGCCAGCCAGGCGGGACTCGGTCGTGCCCTCCTTATAGCGCCAAAGTCGTCCATGCGCGAGGCCTCCAAGGGTCGCGGCGCGACGAGGCGGGGTCGCGGCAAGGGTCGCGACACGGCCGAGCCAGAGGAGGAGAAGAGCATCGTGTCTTTTCTTTTCGGTGTCTGGACTTCCTGGATGTTCCTTGGGTTCGGGAGATGGGTGGGATGCTCGGCAGCCCCTACATCGACACGAGGTTCGCGCACGGTAGAGAAGAATGACCAACACATAGCCTGAGAGCAGTCTGCTGCCAGCTGTTGGAGAGGGCATCGCCTGCAGACGGGTCCTTGGACTGCTGGTACAAGGAGGACGAGCTCCCGCGGATCGTGGGCCTGCTTGGGCGGGCGTGGAGCGGCATCGCGCTGATGACCGAGGCGGAGGAGGAGGAGCTGTCTTCCCTGAGGTGCGCCCGCGGCTACGATGCCGCGAGGTCGTGCTTCACCTACCGCAAGGAGGTCAAGGAGCTCCTGCGTGGCAGCTTCGAGCAGGATGCGAACTTCCGCGACTACGACTTGAAGGCCTCCTTCCCGCGAGCTTTCGCCGCGCGGCACCCGGAGGCCGGTCCTGGGTGGACGGAAACTTCCACCTGCGCGGGATGTCGCGCGACGTGGCCAAGTGACTCATGTGGGCATAGAGCGACGTCGAGGCTTGTTGTTTTGCCTAAACACGCGTTTTGGGTGCTCTGCTTGGGCGGAAAACGCTCCTTTTAGGCCAAAGATGCTCGTTTTGGTGCTCTGGATGCTCCTTTTGGGCCAAAAATGCTCGTTTGGTGCTCTGGATGCTCGTGTTGGCGCTGCGGAGGCTCTTTTTGGGGCAAAGATGCTCGTTTTGGCGGTTTGGATGCTCGTTCTGGTGCTCTGGATGCTCTTTTTGGACCCAAAATGCGCATGAGCCCACATGAGTCCCACATGAGCCACGATCAAGGCGGGGTGACGGGTTCGGGATTGAAATCTCTCAGTTGCCGCACCGCCAGCGGCACCAGGGTTTAGGGTTTAGTGAGGGTTTAGGGTTCAGGGTTTAGCGAAGGTTTAAGGTTTAGGGTTCAGTTAGGGTTTAGGTTTTAGGGTCTAGAGTTTAGGGTCTAGGGTTGAGGGTTTTGGGGTTTAGGGTTCAGTTAGGGTTTAGGGTTTTAGGGTTTAGGGTTTATAGGGTTTAGGGGTTAGGGTTTAGGGTCTTGGACCGTTTAGGGTTAACTGTAAGGTTTATGCGCAGGGCTGCTTTACGAGTAGATAACCGTCATATAGAGATTCATAGTAAAGGGGTATAGGGCCCCTTTTAGACCAAACCCTAAACCCTCAACCGAGTGTTTCATGGCGGGACGTGCTGCTCAAAGGCTCATCGCGGGCCGGGCACGTGTCGCCCGGCACTGGAAGCCAAAAGAGCTTAGAATATTGACACATGCATCTGTACACTGACGAGGAACGCCGATGGCTGCACACGCATGCTTCTTGCCGGGCCCTTGTCGCATGACGACAGAAGCAAAAAAAAAACTCACCTTCGCGCAACCCTAAATCGTTAGGGCGGGCAAGGCCCTGGGTTGCAAAAAGATTTACGGGCTCCTAGAAGCAACCCGGCACGAAGGATCAGTAAGGGCCGTAGCAAGCAGAACGAAGTTTTGGGGTCTTTCATACTTCAACTACAATAGGGAACTCGAAAGGATACGGTTCTACTAGTAATTTGAGTTGGCCGGCTGGACCGTGCACCACTTCACCAGCGACTCCTTGAGTTGGTAGACCTGGTACGGCTTGAAGTCATCCTGAAGTAGGGTTTAGGGTTTAGGTTCAGGGTTGGGTCTGGGGAGCCCGGGGACCTGGGACTGCGACCTGGGTTTTGTTTAGGGTTTGTTGTCTTAGGGTTTGGGGGGTTTAGGGTGTAGTGCAGGGTTTAAGCCTGGGCCGCCAGCAGAACGACCGGGGCCCTTGCCGCATCGTGTCCTGCTTGCCCATGACACGGGCCATTGACAAGTACTCCATCGGCGGTGTTATAGGCCTTGCCGACGAACAGCTGGCCGCGGTATTTTCCGTGCCCAGCCCAATCCCAGCTCCACTTGTCCAAGGAAACGCTCTCCGTGTATCTGGCCGATTGCACACATGTGGGAGGTTTAGGGGTCTGGAAATCAAGACATCGGGCTTAGAGCTCGAGGCTGTAAGGTTTGTGGTTTAGGGTTTAGGGGCTGAGGGTTCAGGGTTTAGGGTTTCGGGGTTGAACGCTCTGGATTTCAGGTTCCTTGAGTCTCGCACAGGCAGAAACACTGGAACTGAGTCAAGGCCGGGGTACTCCTCCTTCACGCACATCAGCCCTGGCCAATAACCCTCCCAAGGTGCGTTGTCGTAGCCGGGGCCGAAGTTGTTCTGCAGGAAATTCTCACCGACGCTTCCCACTGCGACATAGCCCTCACAAACAGCGAAAAGAAGTCCTAAACCTTCAGCCCAAACCTAACCAATTTCGGACGCATAGAACCGGATAAGACTGCCCTGCCACCCGGCCTTGCCACATTCCGGCGTCCAAATGCCAAAGTCATGTCCATCTTTCGAGTCGGTGTCGTGATTGTTCCAGTTGAAAAGCATTCCTGGAGGTTCTGGGAGAGAGTTAGCAACCCCAATTCCTTGCTCTGCCATAGCCAGATCAAAGCATCGCACCTTGCATTCCCCAAGAGTCCTTGTCCCTCAACCAAAAATCCGCGGGAGCCGAAATCCTAAACCCTAATTTAGGGGCCGCAATAATTAGAATAGGGTTTCGGGGCCCCTTACAATATAATTATAATAAGGAACTCTCCCAAGTAGTATTGGCAATTATTTAGGCCCCTA